GAGGTGTGTGTTTGCCACCCTCTTGGGTCAAAGCTGTGTAGGAGAGCTTGTTGCAAAGGTTGTGAGAGAGCAACTGCTGCGGTAACTTTGGGCTCAGCTGGCTTTCTTCACACATTTTCTTTTCTGAGCTTGTCGGGAGCTGGTGCCCTCAGCGGGAGGTGGGCACCCGGCTGTGCTACTTGCACGTTCCTGCTCCCAGGAGGGAGGCCCCACCAACCTCCACCCACCACCCCCTCCAGGGCTCAGTTACCTCCTGCAACCGCCTTGACGACGCTGCTGGCTTCTTTTCTTGCCGCACAATTGTAAACCTCTCTCAGTCACCCCCTTTCCAGCAACCAGCCCGGGCTGGCAGTGCCGCCGGGCGAACCCCACGGCTGGTGCAGGTTGGCCGCCCCTCCCCGCACAGCTCCGAGCCCTGAGATGGCACGCTCTGAACGAGTTGTATAGATGGAAACTCTACCAAAGCCGAGTTTTCTAAAGAAATGAGTCGGTTTGGAAGCAGCCACTGGGCCTGGGGGTCCCAGTTACACGCATCATACTACTTGTCCAGGGGCCGGCTCTCGGCCAAGCTCGCCCCTGTGCACCTCTTCACCCCTCCGCTGCCCACACCGCTCCTCCCGCCCCCAGCATCAGTGATTATACACGGGCTTTTAACCGCCGCAGTCCTCAGCCGAGCCCAGCTGGCAAACGTTGTGAAACGCCAGAAGCCGTAAGCGCGTACGTGTGGGATACGGGCACACCTCGCCGGGGAGAAACCCGCGGCAGTGGCCAGGATGCTCCTCCTTGGCGCAGAGAAGGAGCAAGGGCAGGCAGGATAAGTAAAAGGGGACAACAGAGAGCAAAGAGATCAGCTGTGCTCTCCAGAGATGCACGCCTGTGTTTCTCTGATTTTGCCTCCTCCTAAGGAAAGGAGATAAGACAAATCAAGTGTCTGTGACAGATGTTAGTCACGCTGCCTCACGTGCTACTGAAGGGTGCTCGGCAGCGCGGGGCAGGAGGGGGAGCGGGGAACTCTAGGCACGGTAAGAAAAAATTAACCACTTTGTCCCGCTCCTCAGCGGGCAGTTACGACTTTTCCTTGTCCGGTATAGGGCGTTTTGACAAGCTCTCCCAGTTACCAAGCCTGGGCCAGCTCTCTTCTTGGAGGATACTCTCGGTCTTCTTTCTTTCTAGGCAGCATGCAGAGAGGAGAGCCGAGGGGCTCCAGGGGCAAAGAAGAGGCGAAAGAGATGTCAGCGCCAGGCCAGCGTTCCTCTTCCAAGGCGTAAGATTAGATACAGTTGCCGCGTTGCAGAACGAGGAGAGAAATGTCACCTTCAGAGGTGATCTGACAATCACGAAAATAAATTACATAGAGAAGAAAAAAAAAAAAAAAAAAAGAGATGAGCGTTTGTGAATATTCATGAGCAAGTCAAAACCCCCAAATTAACAAGGAAATTAATTTCCAAACTGATTAGGCTGCCAACTCCTTTTATTTAAATAAATCAACAATTGCCTTCATGTTACTCCTGCTGAGGAGCGCAGGGCTAATCCTGTCTAG